AGCTGTGCAATTTGGGCACAGAATTGAACAGAACTGATAACTGTCCTTTCCTCTCCACTTTTTTCACATGCTAGAGACAGGGAAAAGGGAAGAGAGGACATGTAATTAATGTAAAATATAGAGAAAAAAGGAAGTCTATGATGTAAAAAATGTCATATAACTTCATTAAAATTCCTTTAGTACGCAGCAGGGAGATTTATAGGACTGGTAGATGGGAGAGTATAAAAGAAAGATAGATTAGCTTTAGCTTTGCTGGTGTTCACTTATGCTATAAATTGTGTGACTAGAGGCTTTCTCTGAATTGCATCTACCTCTTGGTCTTCGTCTTCTGTCCCATATTCTTTTGGTCATCTGAAAAGGGAGAAAATTCATCCTGATCTCCCTATATCCATATCTCTCTGGATATAGATTGTACATTCAGTGCATGAATTCTTTCTCGTACATTAATTTTAATTACTATTTCTTCAATTAAAGGTTGGTCTAAAGCAGAGCTGGTCTGGAAGTACCCACTGACATCCTTTTTCATCCAAATTTTTAAGTCAAGCAACTGTGGGATTTTTCAAGGAATGTCTCGGTTTCTGCAACCATTGACAAGAATGGGTGGAAGAGCATCTGATGAAACATGTCTTAGAAAATTAGCTGTTGAGCTGGGGAGACCTTTGGATTTTTCTTAGCTCCAGGTCTTCGTTCCCAGTCTTTCTGACATGGAGTCCACACTCAGAAGCCATGTCAGTAATACTTAATTACAGGTACTTGGAACCATTTTCTTTCACTTGGTCTCACCCTGCAAAGCAGAGTGGCTACAACTAAAATGCTATTCAACAATGGTCCGTAGTTCATGTCAATTCTCTACCTATGTCTAGAAATTGCATGGGAGAGTACCTGTTAAATGGGGCTAAAAGTCATGCCAGAAACCACTCTAGCAATTTAATACAAGAGATAACTGAGTACTAGAGCCTGGGAAGGGCACTATTTGATTTTATAGTACAGGTATAGCCTGAGAAACAGGTCCTGGATTTGCAGCAGAAAGCCTTGGAGTCCCAGTTTTCATGGGTTGAGCAAGTGTCTGTTGAAGCTTCTAGTTTGTTTTTGTGAACCAGAATGGTTGATTGGTTTGGGGTTTGTTTTTTTCCAATAAAACTTTTTAAAGAATCCGAAGGGAAGGTATACTGAGAAGTACTGAAATACTTCTAGAGGATGAATAGTCTTTAGGTATCATTGCTTACTCTTACAAAGCTTGTTTAAAAGCAACTGTTGTCTTCAGGACCAGATTCTCAGGTTGCTTTGGCAGCAAAACTATGAGCAAAGCCTCAAGGCTAGCTCATATCACCTCTCCAAAAATGGGAGCTTGATGCACCAGAGTGTCCTTGGTCATCACTCTACCGCCTAGAGCAGGTAGGCAGGCAGTGGTAGGAAATGGTGATAGGAGAAAGGTAGATCATGCTGTGTTGAGTTGCTCTTTCAGACAAATTTAAGTAGTCACTGAATAAAATCACTGCTCTCTCTAAACGGTTTGCATATTCTTTTTTTTTAAGTCAATTTTTTTTTCTCATTAATTGCTAGGCACTTTTCAGTATAATTAGAAATAAAAATACCATGTTCGAGATTAGCTATATTCTCTGATGACACACAACCTTGAATGAAATCTAAATCTCATGCCTTAACTAACCACTGCTGTGCTAACAGAAATAGATAGAACTGAAGATGCATTTCTCTTAATAAAGAAAGTAATCTCATTTCATTTTGAAAGCATGGAGAGAGCAGGCTGCTGCATTACAGTGTGCTGTTGTCTGCACAATCTCTTTTTTATTCATAATGATTCCTTAATATTTCGAATTTCAGTGTTGCATTTATCTTAAAGTTGATGTCTAAGTGAACGTTTATAATATATGAGCAGAGAAAATAATGTAAGAGTCCCTAAGCTGCTCCATTCCCACATAGAAGCAGTGTGAATATCTGTGTCCTTTGTCAAGTTGCCTGGTTCATATTCATGTACAAGTGCAGTAGCTAATTTTACAGCATAAGGAGTGATGCCTCTCTGCATTCCTTGGGGTGGAATCATTAGCACAGGTAAATCTCTGTGTTGCAGCCAACAAATTTATTTGACACACAGTTTATGACCTAGTAGATGTAAATGTCTGCTGTGAAACTAACGATGGATGAAGCAAGAGAACATGTTATCTCACAAGATTTCCAGCTGGGCTAGAAATAATCTATCCCATGAAATGTTGACAAGTTCACTTCTAATCTTAGTTAGAAAATTGAGGTTGGAGTAGATAGTGCTGAAAAATAATGGAGTGAAAATCTGTTCTAACTTTTCAAACTGTTTCCTACATCCATTCTTAACTTACTACAAGGTGCTTAGGGAGTTGCAGAGCTATTCAGTCGCTTTCATATTAAGAGAAAAGCCCCATGTGCACAGCTTTTCTTTGAAATATTTCCTGTGGTAAAGAGAAATTCTGGCTATTACTGTCTGTATAACATCGTTCACTGTTTTCTGCTAGTATATTTAGAGATTTATTTAAGTATGACGGACTCTGATTCTGAACAGCTTTTCAGCTGTGTTTTCTTACAGCATTACTTTTCTGACAGTGTTTGATTAAAATAAAGGGAACACCTAACAAACAGCCCTTAGTCTTCTACACTACTTGTGTTTGTTAAAAGTGGGTGTTGTAGAGCTGCAAATGTACGTCTACAAGAACAATCATCAAGATAGTATTGATCTGTCCCAGAATGATGTGAAAAAAGTTTTTAAAGTCCTTTAATGTTCATATGCCTAGCAATAGTGACCTGGGCTGTAGCTCTGAAAGAGAAGCAGATGAGAAATATGAAAAATATGTGAAGATAAATCCCACAGTCTCAGGTATTTCCCAAGAAGATATTATAATTCTACTTTTTTTCCTAAAATCTGACCTAGTTGTAGCAGGAGATGGTGAAAGTCAATACAGTCAATGACCTTAAAGCTGACATATTAAAATATTGTGGAAAGGTCTAATTAGCATAAAGGTCACAGGACAGAAATTTCGTTCCAATTCTGTTATTTCCAAGAGCCAATGGAAATGCAGCACTGCTATGAAAATTCCTCAGTGGCTTTCAGAAATGCTTGACGTTTACCTTGTTGGGTCAACATTAGTAGAATTTATATTTCTTCAGATAAGGGAATCATAGCTGAATTTTTAACAGCCATGGAAGAGGAAGATTAATATATACTTAATAAAGCACTTGCTTAAAATTAAGGGCAGGAAAGCATTTCAAGGAGGTATGAAAACTGTCTCTAATATGAATCTAACTTCAGAGAGATAAGTAAAACAAGAAATGTAATATTTTTTTGAAAACTATGATTTAAGAGTAATACAGCTCCTATAAAAGGAATTACAACTAGATTTAATTCCAAAATGCTTCATATTGAGAAAATTTTATCAAAAAATATATTTTATATAAAATAGTTCTACACAAAAACTTTTCATTTCAGGACCTTGTATAATTTTAAATAAATGTTGGTTTAGCTCAAAATATCAAATTTAAATGGCAAATATATTTAAAATTCTTTTAAATGATTGAAGCATGAAATTTTCAATGGAAAAATCTTTTCTGTCAAAAAATTGAGGGAAAAACATTTTCAATGTTTCTGATTGTTAAAAGTCAGATGGATTATTTTTTCCACTTTGTGTGAAATAAAAGTAAGTCTCAGACTTTTACTGCAGCTTTTGAAGTCAAGAATAGGTTACATAAAAATGTCTGGCTTTTAGCGTCACTGTGCTGGGCAGTGATGCTTCCTCGTTCTACACCTCAGCTATCTGCTTCTCTTTTCCCTCCACCACACTCAATTTCAGGTTAAACGTAGACCTTACCAAGAACATGTGCTTCCTTGAAAGTAGTGATCACCACGTGATTCCACAGTAAACAGGATACATTGTTCTTTCACAGCAATTTTACACTGAAATAACTCTGAATGATTTTGTTGACTGTTGGTCTTCTGTGCATTAGTGAAATGGAGGAGAGATTTAGCAGCAGCAGCATTCAAATGGCATGGAATTTGTTTCCTAATCAGAATTTTAACTTTATCCATGTCATTTGTTGTAATGTCGACTTTGTAACATTCAGGCGGGGGCGGGGGGAGAGCTTTTTAATATAGGTTTGTATTTATATAGATAGCTTCCTAAGCTCAAGCAAGGTATTCTCCACAGAAGGGTCTGTGCTTCTTTCTCCATGGGTAACTGTTACAAGCAGACAAAAATGACGGACATGTATTTCCTGGTATGTCTTTGAGTATGATTCAAAAGAAGAGAGTTATTTGAGAACCAGCATGACTAATGTCTATATAAGCTTGACATATTTTTAAATTTCAAGGATAAATACACAGACATAATGTAAGTGAACTTTTAAAAAGCATGCACAAGATTTCTGGTGTTGTTGAGAATTATAAGTACCTGCCCAAGATAAAACATGTACAAAAGCATATTTTTCTCTTTCTCCATACAATTTTTAAAGCCAGAGGGAAAAAAAAAATTTGGTGTAGGAAATAGATACTCTTTTATTTGCTTTTGAAAAGTCTCCTTTTGAGTAGATAGTGAAGTGGCAGTTAAAGATCAGTGTGCATTTCTCTAGACCCTAAAGGGGAACTCTTCAGAACCATTATAGTCCTCCACAACCGAATTTGACTTGAGATCAGTTTGTCTCAACATCTAAAGTTCCATTCAAATCTCCTTCTGAAATAGAAATATGTTATTGCCTTCAGCTTCATGACTGGAAACTCATATATGTTTAAAAAATGTCATTTCTCTCTGCTACCAATAACTCACTTTTTGCCTAAAATCTTCATGCATTACAACAAGAATTTTTAGGAAAGTTTTATAGCATCAATTCAGAAGTGGTAAAAACCAGATAGGTGTTTTAAGATATGCTGTCCATTTTCACTGTCTATTGAAGGTGCCTTTGCAAACTCACTCTTAACTTTCACACGTTTGGCTTGCTAATATCAAATGTTTGTTTGCTTTCAGATATCAACATGGCAGGAGAACCAAAACCATACAGACCTAAACCTGGCAACAAGCGGCCACTTTCAGCACTTTACAGGTAAGTGAGATTTCATCTTAACTTACTACTAATCAGTTTTTATTAGAAAAATTGTGGTAACCTGCAATGTATCTACCAATGTCATTGTGTAGCCCATGAATGAGACAAAGGAATTTTTTTTCATTCACTCTTTGACGTTCCTACAAAATATAATCAAGCTCCTGTACACACTAAAAGGTTTTGAATGTGAGTAAAAGTGCCAGTATTGCAGTGCCTGTTGTGTACCTGTATGTGTATCAGTGTATCTGTTGACTCATCACAGAACAAAATGTTCTAACTTCTGGAGATAAAGACTGTCCATGTGATGCCTGTCTTAAAAAACTAACTTACATTAACTAGGAGTAAGCCCAGCAAAGAAAATTCCTGACATGCTTAGATGCAATGATCACAATATGCACGTAATTCCCCTCTTTTCATTGGAAACAAACACCAGAGTTTCTGTTTGCTGTAAAAAATAAAATACTTAGGATATTTAAATGATAATAGAGGCATTCAGAAGAATAGAAAAAACCAAATCAGTCAGACCAGAATTTTATTTCTTAGTGAAAATACCTAGCGTTTTACTGAGGCCAAAACCTGGTCTCTGCCTTCTCAGTATTCATATCATGGATGTTATTTGCCAATGCAAGAACAATCCAAAGGAAGGGGTTGCAGCTTTAAACTGTAAGAGATACTACACAGAGAGGCTTGCTATACTAAAAAGCTGTTTGAAAAGATGTTTGACAGTGACACTCCTTTAGGATGGAGTAGCAGAATGCAAACCTTGCACAGGTTTTGTTCCAGGGATGCTAAATGTAAGACCCCACCCAAGTGCTCAGTCTGGAATTCAAGCTTTGAATTTAAATAAGTGTTGCATTAAAAAAAGATGTTTGTTTATTCATTTGTTTATGCACTGGTAATTTAATTTTCCCTCCACACCTCCTTTTACTTTTTCTGAAGTGAAAATGGAAGTGCAGGAGAAAAGAAGCAGACTTTAGGCCCATATAAAAGTGTAATGTTTAACAAAATTAGAATGAAGTACAGAATAATATTATAAATCTTTCATTTACTAAACCTACTGACAAAAAGACTGGTGTGATTTGTGAAGTGTTTATTAATGTCCCCACTTCTAGCACTGCAATAAAATTTTTTGTTCTTTTTTTTTTAATGGAGTGCTATTTCAATTTTTAATCCTTATGCTTTATTGCTTGGCTATGGCATCGTTATTGTGACTTTTTTATTTGCAGGGATCAGTGAAATTAATAATTTCAGAGAAACAGAACTGGTTTCTTATTGATTTGTGTGTCAAGGGTGAGAACTAACTTCTAACAAGACTGGACTTCTTCCTCGGGTGTTCAGGAGGGCATTGATAGTGTCTTTCTCCTATTCCCAGGTGCCTTTTTTCATACAGCTTGTACAAACTTGAAGAAACCCCCACCTTTTTTTCCAAATCAATTAAGCTTAGTGAAGCAATACAGATTGTTAGGGGGATTGACAGGAAAACATGCACACATATATTTCTGCTCAATAAACCTCACTCCTCATAAAAGTACTACAGAATTTATGCTCTAGACCCAGGAAAGGAGTTAGGGCTGATTTCTACTGTCTATGAAATGCAGATAGACTGGCTCTGAGACCAACAGCTCAGCAGTGAAATCAGACACACTTGAGCAGGACTGTTTCAAGCCTGGTCTGGTCTGAAAGCTTCAGATGGAAATTCAAGGATGGGATCTCAGAATGAGACAGCCAGGAGCATTTTATATCTGAGTCCACATGCTACATAATAGTAATGTGAAGTTTTATCATACAGTTCCCCTTAGCTCAAGTAAAAGAAATATTATTTTTCGAGAAAAGGACGCCTGTTTTATCATTACCCTCAACTGCAAGCTGTAAAGCTCTGCAGGTGTTACTGGTAGCCGTGGTCTACTGTGTCCCCGTGTCAGTATTCAAAAGATTTTTGAAGATGTTCTCTGGTTTCTGGCATTTATATGCACTTACATCTCTAAGCTTCTGAATGGTTTCTCATACATACTTGTTCTACAGACAAGACAGGGATAAGAGAGAGACCTGTGGAAAGTTCTGAGGGAACTTTAAAGAGACAAAAGATCTTAGGTTGCATCCTTCTATGGATCTAGTACAGACTATTTCTCTAGAAGATTATGAGAGGCTTTTTTGAGCAACTAAGAGAAGCCTTCATCTGATAGTAATGGAGAACTTTCATTATCTCAGTATCTGTTAGCATAATAATATGAGAAGAGATCAATGGCTTATAAAGCTCCTGACAACTCTGAGAACTACTACTTATTTCAAAACATTATACTGGGTCTGGCTGGCATGGAGTTAACTTTCTTCATAGGATCCCATATGGTGCTGTGTTTTGGATTTGTTACTGAAACACACCAATGTTTTGGCTGTTGCTGAACAGTGTTTGCACAGCCTCAAGACTTTCTCTTTTTCCTATTCTGCCTTCCAACAAACAGTCTGGGGGTGGACAATAAGAGGGAAGGAATACAGCTGAGACAGCTGACCCAAACTGGCCAAAGGGTTATTCTATATCATAAAACATCATACTCAGAAATAAAAACTGGGGAGGTTTTTCCTTCCAAAGTAGCTGTTGCTTGGAGACTGCCTGGTCTGCTTGTGGGAGGTGGAAAGTAATTGCCTTTGCATCCCTTGTTTTTTTCCCTCCTTCCTTCCCTTATTACACAGCATTTATCTCAACCCATGAGGCTTTTTCACTTTTGCTCTTCCTATGCTCTTCTTCAACCCAATAGGGGACAATGTTAGGGGAGTGTGATAGTGACTGTGTGGGTGCTTAGCTGCTGGCCAGGGCCAACCCAGAAGATGGAGAAAGTTAAGAGAGAACTGGTTACTTTAGATTTTATTTTGACTAAAAGATGCATTGGTTAAAATCTTAGTTATCAATCACAAAATATTCACTGTGAAAAGGGAGGACTGAGAGCAGTAGAAATAAGATAATGGATTTCAGAAAGGACAGACTTCAATGAGCTCAGAGAACTGGTAAGTAAGATACCTTAGAAAGAAATTTTAGGGACAAAAGGAGTACAGAAAATCTTACATTGACTGTGCTTAAGGTAGAAGAGAAATTCTTCTGAAGCAGAAGTAGAATAGAGGAGTAATATGGCAGCATCAAGTTTCTTAAACATCCTGAAAAGTGAAAAGGAATTGTACAAAATGTGGAATCAAAACCCCATGACTGGAAGTGAGTAGAAAAGAACAGCAGAGTCATCTAACAGGGTGTCGGAAAGGCTAAGGTGCATAACAGTATAAAAGACAACAAAAAGATTGTCATTAGAGTAACTTCCTCTGCTTTTTTATACTGCTGTTACTTAGTGGGAAAGGAAAGCAAAAGTAGATGGTACAGAAAAGGCTTATTTTGCTTTAGCAAAAAGAGCAAAGAGCAGATACCTCTTTAGCAAAAGAGGTTAGTTGACCAGCTATTTAAGAAAATCAATTTTAACCAGAGGGTATGGAATAAAAGAATTGGCTAACCAGTATTTGAATAAGTGACTTCAATGGAAATGGTATGATGAGATTCACCCCAAAGTGTTCGAAGGACTAGTTAAATCTGTGTAGGCACTATCAGTGATTGTTTTCAAAAACTTATGGAGGTCACGTAAGGTTGAAAACCAGTGGGTATGGGCAGGTGTTATACCTATTTTTAAGAAGAGGACGACCTAGAAAATTATCAGGTCAGCCCAGCTTTGATTCCCAGAAATGTACTAGAACAAATTATTAAACAATCAATTTATCAACACCTAGAGAATAATAAAATGGTAAAAAAATCAGGAGCAAATTATGTTGAAGCAATATAATTTCCTTCTCTGACAAGATAGCTGAGTTAGTGGATAAAAAGGAAACAGTAGATGTGCTACATGGTCATTTAAACAAGCTTTAACACTTACCACATGTGGAGTTTTCGTAATCATGTTCAGGAAATTTGGCTAGAAGAAACTGTCTTAAGGTAGACATCCAATGGAAAAACAGTGACTGTGTACAGCATAGTGTTAAGGATAACAACTATACTTATAACTAATGTTATTGCATCTCTGAAGAGAAACCTGCATCACATGTATAGCTGGATATACACATGAGTAATACAGAGCAACCGATGTATATGATGATGATGATACCCACGTAATTTGCTTGTGTCCAAGTCATTAGATCCACTTTGGCCTGGAATGGTATAAAAATACTTGGTCATACATCAGTTCAGGATCTACATTCTTTTTTTTATCCTTTATAGTTTTATAGTCTGTGTGGAAATAATCTCATTTAATCTCACCTATGTGAAATTTAGCATGAGCCTAAACATGAGACACATCATTTTTTTTTTCAGCTATAGGAATAACTAGATGCAAGACAGATAAGCATATATAATTTCTTCTTCAACTTACACAGGCAGTCATTCACATATCCAAACTCTCCTTTGTTCTCCAGTTTATTGTTTCACTTATACTTCTTTTCATATCTTTTTGATGCTAGCATTCCTGGTACAGATCTTTGAAAAAAAGGCTACAATTAAAAGTGATACAGAGAATTTAAAAGGCATCATGGACCTAATGAATTCAGAAAAAAATTCTGTCATTCACTGGACTAGGATTTACTTCCACTTCTTCTTCTCTCTTAAATGTAATTTAATACCCTAATTCCTATCAGATGAAGATCCCATTGATCACAACCCTTAACTGCTGGAGGGCAGACTTGCACTGCTTGGAATAATCCCACAAGACACTGTCCCAGACAACATTGGGGGCCAGGAGAGATGGCTGATTTCCAAGGATCATCTCCTCCAAGTTCAAGAACGGTTCATCCTGATGAACAAGAAATCAAGCAAAGGTAGCAGGTGGCCTGCAGAGATGAACAAGGAGCTCCTGAAAAAAATTAAAACATAAAAAAGAGGCATAAAAAATGTGGAAGTAGCAACAGGTGGCCTGGGAGATATATACAGACACTGTCTAAGCATGCAAGGATGGAGTTAGAGTGCTGTGGGAGCGGGT